GGGCGACTCCAAGCAAAAAAAAAACAATAAAGGTGGGTCTGCAGCCACAGAGACATTTTATTTGTATTTGTATTTATCTAAGTCATGGAATGCAGGATGGGTCCAATAAGATTAACATTATCATTTCTCAGAAGTGGCAGATAAGATTAACATTACCATTTCTCAGATGTATATTTTGTCCTGTAGCAGGTGTCTGATAATGCAATGTCATGGCTGTTATCAGCTTAATACCTCTATAAACGTTTCCATGTTGTATTAATTCTTGTTAATATTATTGCTTGTGGAACTTCACACATATTATAATTTTATTTTGTACTAGTCCATTTGTGTGTATTCCTAAGAATTATACAACTGTGGATCAATTATCTTGTATATATTACATCTTGACAGTAGCTGGGTATGAAATCAGTTCTGTAGTTTCCAGAGCAGCAAATGATAAATGTTATTCTGTTATTTTTTACTGTCTGGTGTCTTTGTTTCAGCTGCTGAGTACATTACTGAAACAGTGGTTGAGTTCCATTGACCTTGCAGGTGCAGGCAGACTGTGCCACTGTTCTGTTCTTTTCTTTTTTTTACTGCCATTTTGCGTGTGCATTGATACTCAGCTACTTCTAGCTATCAGTGTTAACAGCTCTTCATCTGATAGCAGCAAGTGATGGATCCCGTGGCTGACGACAGTGACAAGGTATGTGAGCCATGTCACCAGACCAGTTCAGAATTGGTAAATATGGAGCTATTTTTGAATAGGAGTTCACTAGATATTTCATTGATATATGCGTAGTTTTCCACTGAGGGAATGAGGAGAAAATCCGAAAGTCTTTATAAATGACAAATCAAGAGGTCATAACAGATGTGTAGATGACTGGTTATACTAACCAGGATTCAAACTAGGCATCTCCAGACTGAAATTGGAATAGTTATCGCTTGTGTCACCAGTCTGCGAGCCTCCAATGAGACGCTCTCCCTGCCACCTGTAACACTGTTTTATGGCCTGAGTTGGAACATGTGTTTAATGAAGAGTACTGCTGGAGGCTCGTGGATCAGCGGGGGACTCCTGATCTGATGTTTATTGATTCATAAATACAAATATATATATATAATTAATTATTTGTGATCTCCTTTTAAGAAATATAGATAGTTAGGTGAAGGAAATGGTAATATGAGATCTTGAAACTATGAGTGGTGAAGATTAATGACTTTGGTACTGAACTAGATGGCATTACTGAATGGCATTGAAATATGGATACGTCACTGTCACCACTAAGTTCATAAGTCAGAAATCTATAATGGTAGACCCACTGTTGCAGGATGTACATTTTGCAGTTATCTCCCTGCACAAATGAAACAGATCAGTAATAATTCACACTTCAAAGGCAGCATAAGCAGCTTCTCATTATTAGATTCTATTAGTCAATTGAGGACTTTATCATTGATAATATTTCCATACTGCTTGCTAATCTTATGGTTGTAATTTTTGATTCCTATGACATTTTTACATGGTAAACTTTGATAAGGAAGTGCATCAATGCAGTCCTCTTATGTAAGACTTGAGGTTCTCACAGCGGTGAGTATGAAGATTTCCGTCTTCTGGGTTGTTGCGCTGTGTAGTCTGGTCGATGTTAACCAACGTTTCAGAGGTCATACTGCCTCCGTCATCAG